CGAGGACAGTTTGGTGTTCGACGCATGTGCAGGAAGAGGATCCATGATAGGATTATAGCGGTGTCTGGTAATGTGCTCACTATTAGTGTAGTTAGTTTTGGTTGTCGTACTTTGATTATAATTAATCAAATTATTTATTTTTCTTGAAAGTAAGAATGTGAGTTTTTAATCTTGCTGTTGGTATTGTGACTTTCTTTTTGTATGGTAGCTGCATTTATACTGAAGCTAGCCATAGTTTACGTTCGTAGTTGGTGTTTAATTGTTTTCATCTTTCCATGAGTTCTTTATCTGATCAAGTTTTAGAAATGAGATTGTTTGTTTATTTACTAGGTATTTGCTAACTATATTTTTTTCTTCCAGAAATGATAGCAGCTTTGAAAAGGCTAGAGGGTGAGCCAAATTTCAATGATGCCTTAAAGAAGGCATCGACAAAGCTCAGTAAAGCTTTTCCTGAAGCAGATATCCGCTTGTTAGTGGATAGTTCGATGCAGAAAAACAGTGAAGCCATGTACATAACACTTCCTAACATAATTTGATCTGTGTATTACTATTTAAATGCCTATGATTGATTTAATTTTCTCACCTATGATTGTAGGGACAAGAAAAGAGCAAATCAAGAAAATAAATTGCTAATGAAACAGCTGGAGAGAAACAGAAGAGAAGCTGAGAAAGAGAAAGCAAGCATGCACAATGAACTGCAACGAGAAACACAGCCCAATGTAAATGTGACTATTTTTGCGATGCTATGTGTTTTTTATAGCTGAAGTTGCTTCTTCTTGATGCTGCTCTTATTGACAGTGCAATCATGTTTTACATATGTTTGAAATGAATATTTTCTGCTAGCTAACAGGATTGTAGCAGTCTGTTGCGTTATATGGTATTTGTTATAATATAGTGGTACCAATTCTTAAAATTTAGGATACAGTACTTTTTGAATAATTTATTTTGAATTAAAAATTGATTTATTAGACATTAATACTTTTGCAAGTATATAATTGTAATGGCTTATCAAGTTTAATTTTTTTAAAGCATTATTATATATTTTTTGCACTATATAATAAAAGTATATTAAAAAATCTTTAATACATATGATATTAAAATGAAATGATATTTATTTAATACATCTGAGAGTTTTTCAACCACTTGATTCTTTTAGGAATCTGATTCACAATTGTCACAAGGTGAGGCAAAAAATGATGAGAAATGTTCTATAAAAAGGCAACAGCAAAAGAAACAAGTAGAGGAAACAAAAAGGGATCAACGGCGTCGAGAGAAAGCTGAAGCAGAGTTAAAGAAGAAGCGTAGTTTAGAAAAACAAGCCTCACTCATGGAGCGTTTTCTGAAAAAATGTAAAACTAATTCCTCATCTGAGAATGACCAAGTTTCAACCAAATCAACCGATTTGTCAAACAGCAAGAATGAAAGTTTGTCTGAGTCAGCTACACTTTCAATGGATTGTACTCTTGCATCAAGCAATGATGTAACACTTGAGGGGATTCGCAAGTAAGTTTGTTTAAACATTATTTTTTACACTTGTGGTTCTGTTTTCAGATCTAACTAAAAATGTCTCACTTTTCAGGTCACACTTTTCTTCATGGCGCTCTTTAGGACAATCAATTCGCTCAAACAGAAAACAGAACTGGGGCATTCGTCAGAAGCCTAGGACTGAAGTTTTTAAGGAGCTTAAGCTGACAGCTATTAAAACTGATGTTCATGATGATGAGTTGGGTGAATGTAGTTCTGATATCAGTTCATGTCCAGTGAATGCCGATGGTTCTCTTCACGATGACAAGAAGTACCGTCGAGCAAGACAATTATTTCAGTTTGATAAGTCTCATAGACCTGCCTTTTATGGTGTTTGGCCCACAAAAAGGTTGGATTGTGCTTCATGCATGGGTTTTTTATTTCGACTTTTAATAGGATGTAGTATGCATTTGCTTAAAAATGGGTAAATCCAGTGATTCAACTGTTCGTCTAAAGTTTAGTTATGCAGATACTGTGCCTAATGTCAGATGCTCTGTTGTTGATTTGATTAAATGCTTTTAAATGATTAACATTAGAGTTCTTATCAATGATACTTTTGCTTTTGTGTGTTATAATATGTATTTTCAGTATTTTCTTGTTTGAGATTGCATGTGATTAAAATTTGTCTTTCTTCTAGTCATATTGTTGGAGCACGCCATCCGCTAAGGAAGGATCCAAACCTGGATTATGATGTCAGCAGTGACGAGGAGTGGGAAGAGGTGCATTGATTTTTCTCTATTTAATTGAATTGATTTAGAATGGATGCCGTCCATCTGCTAACAACATTCTGTCTACTTTAGGAGGAACCTGGTGAAAGTCTTTCTGATTGTGATAAAGATGAAGAGGATTGTCAAGAGGAATGCTCGAAGTCTGATGAAGAAAGTGAAGATGGATTTTTTGTACCCGATGGTTATCTCTCTGAAAATGAGGTATAGGCTTGGTCTTTTTGCTATTACAATGTTTTGCATTTCCTGATTCTGAGACGAGTCATGTTTTAGACTTTTTGATTTCTTGATATCCGTGCATGCCGTTTATATTTTTTTATCAGCCATGGGATAGGAGCAAGATCTCAAGGGCTTCTTTTATTTCACCTAGAACAGTAGTATCGTTAACAAACAACTGTTTTGAATTTTTAAACCACTACAACTGCTTAGTTAAATTTATTTTATTTATATATAGGGTGCACAAGTGGACAGAAAGGAAATGGAGGGTGACACTAAGGGGAATGATAGCTCATCTGGCTACAATGAGGAGTTTTGTGCTTTACTTCGGCAACAAAAATATATAAACAGTTTGACAGACCTTGCTCTCCGGAAAAATCAACCCTTGATTATAACAAATTTCAATCATGAGAAGGAGTTGTCATCAGATCACAGTACTGGTGGTATTTCTAAGGTGGAGCAGAAGTGCTTGCAGGCCTTGAGTATGTACATAGTTCCTGGCGGCTCACTTGTAGAAATACCCATGGGTAAGATGCAAGACGAGGAGCAAAAGGTCCATCGCTCTGGTGGTAAAGGTGGTGCGAGTTCAATATCCGGTGTAGCTGCCATTTCTGACTCAGACCTACTCACAATTGTAAGTTATGCGTTTGAGTTAGATAATTTTCTTGCATCTATCAAAATGTATGTGTAGTTTGCTAGAGTCAATGTAGTGAAATTGGTTGAGGGAACAATCAATCATTATGTTGGTTGAGATGACACTTGCCAGGTGCAGGGATTTGGGGAAGCTGCCCCTTTTGTTCTCTCCCAACTTCATTGTGGCTAATTTTATGAGATAACATGCAAGTTTTATCACTTTACAAAGATTGTTAACTTTTCAGGTGACCACTATTCAAAGTTGTTCTCAAGGTATGAATAAAGTGCTACTGTCTTTGCAACAGAAATTGCCTTCTTTGCCGAAGTCCTTAATGAAGAATAAAGTACGCGAAGTATCTGAATACGTTGATAACCGTTTGCAGGTTAGTTTGGTGGAGAGATCTCACAAACTAAAATAAGAGTTTCATATGATATATGATACCAGTCACGTTTTTAATAAATTTTTCCGGGTCATTGAGATGCCAAGCTGTATATGAATTTGCGCATCACGACCTAAAAAGCCAATGCTATTTTTACTGTCTGGGACACAGACTCTCGTTGATTGAGTCTAGTATGTATCTATGCTGAATTTTATTTTTCTCATTTTTATCCAGGTGAAGAAAGAAGTTCTGGATAAGCTTGGTTTGACAGGTAAACCTGGTGTTTGTTTCAACCCGAAGTCTTGATGTTGTTTGTTTCAACCCGAAGTCTTGATGTTGTTTGTTTCAATATCTAAACTGTCTGATTGAACACAGAAAAACCCGGCGAGGGACCGAAGAGTATTGCTGCATTTTTTTCAAAAAGATGCTCATCGCCGGGTGGTGAAGGTGTGAAAGGTGAAACTTCACCGCTGCCATCCCAGAAATCATCTTCCACTGATGAACGACCAGAAAGTTCATATAAGATGTAATGTCTCACATTTTATTGCCTTATAGTCGTTTTTCCTACGTTCAGATTTCCTAGTTTAGACTTTGTTCACCACTGTAAGCAAGTTCCTGAATACCCTCCATGTCCAATGCTCCCTTTACTATGTTTTGCAAGCTTAGACTTCATTTTGTTAAATGTTGTATAAAAAGAGAATGTACTATTTGCACCCTATTTTTATTTTTCCAGTTGTCTTTTAATAATAAAAGTGATTGATTTATATTTGTCCTCAATCTTCTTGAATAATGTATTTGATTTCAATTTTTTTACTTGGATTAAAACTCTAAGTATTCCAAGTAAAATGTTAAATTATAGAATCAATGGGTATGAAATAATAATGAAGCTATATTTATTATATGTATTTTAAGTAAAATGAATATAAATATACTATCACATTAAATGTTACTTATTAATTGACCTATTAATATATAAACAATTTGATTACCTTCTAAGTTCATATTGAATTGCAGAAGACGACACTCACATGGGAAACTATTGAATTTTTAGTTGATCAGACTTGTTTTTTTAGTTATGATAAATGATTAAACTGTTTTTTTTTCTTCTTTAAATGATTTTTTCTATATGCCGATAAACTGAATCCGTGTTAATGTTTTAAATCTAGTTCTCTAATAATTATGATTTCCCTTAGTAAAAATAATTGAACATTGCCAACTAAAAATAACCCTTCCCTAAACCTTTAGTTTTTTTATCTGCTGCTTTATAATCAGGAGATTTAAGGAAACATATGAAAGGTAATGAGATGTTATTTCAGTGAAAAGACTTCACCATAGTTTGATTTGGTAATTATTATTTTTTTTCACAAAATTATTGAAGCTTATAAAATTTTATAACATTTATGGATCAATTAGCACTCACTGCACTATTATTTCAATATTCTAAAAATAATCAAATATCATATAATAGATTATATATTTGCAATTTTTTATTTGGTCTTGTTATCACAGTAACACTACGCAATTCAACAGTGAATTAATAAACTTATATTCTAAACCTTGTTGAATACTGTAAGAGTCACAAAAATCCAGTTGCATACTTCTTCAACCCATGTTAAACCACTACCACAGTGCATATTAGATAGGTCCTTTTTGGTGCTTCTAACAACTATTAGCGTAAACTAAGGCAAGCCCTATGAATTCTGACACAAAAACGTAATAGTGAATGAGGTAATTTCTTGGGTGGTTGAACATACCAAACAACTAGTTGATGAGTCTATAATGTTTGTAGAACCCAGCCAGCTTCAACCACAAGTGTTTCCTCTGGTTGTTGTCATAACATGGAGACATGCAGGTGAACCTCTGGAACAAGTTTCATCCAGCGTTTCTGGTTTTGATGATAGCATTTGCCAACAAGAAGGGAACTGAAATACCATAGCCCAGAAAATGGAGAACTGGGTTCATCTCATAAGCTTTTAGAAGAGTTCTGCAGTTCTGTAACGGAAAAAGTTAAGTAAATGAAACCGAACAAAAAACAACGAAAGAAAAAGGAAAAAGTAAGGACAACCAAAAAATTTAATGTTATTCTCTAACTAAAATAAGAGTTTCATATGGTACTACTAACATTGACCTATTATTGTGTAATTCATCAAGTTGGCAATTTAATTTTATCTGAGAACTTTACAATTGGAATAATCCATGTTATACCAACTCTTAATTTCGGTTGCATTCTTTACAAACTATACTTCAGATTCCTCCATTATAATTGGATTTGACTATTTCAAAGAGAGTAAAGATAATATAAGTAATATCAATTGTTGAAGAGAAAATTGGTGCTTGATATGCTGCAATGTTTTGTTTTAAGGCTTACCATAAAATGTTTCCAACAAATTGCCAGGCACACCACACACAGAAGCTTCCTAATCCATCTCTTGTAAAGGTGAACGTTTGATACTATGCTGCTATGGTGGTCATTTAATACAGTTTTTCTAGAGTCCATACGAAGGTCATCTTTCTTCTTCTCTAAGAATGCTAACACATGTTCCCGGAAAATTGCTCTTTCTGCTGTCAGAGCACCAGTGATCAAAATTGCAGGCAAAACCACGTATAATAGATGGGGAAGAACCACCACTATGATATCAGGAGATCCAACATACTCAAGCTTCCTCTCTCCATTAGAAGTCTCTATGGCCCACCCCATATAGGTCATGTATACCATATTTTCCCCTTCATTAAAAACTTGCCCCATAAACCAGGGGGACAATATCAGATAAAATAGGTACGCTATCCAACCAAACCATAATGTGTTGATCCTGCACAGCTCCTGGAGAAACCATAATACACCATTTACCAAGCCTTTATTGACAATGAAGTTCTTGTAAGTGTATCTCTTGTCTAGAAAAACAAGGAGAGCTTTTGGAAGAAGAAGGAATAAGAAGAAAAAGTAAAGAGCAGACCAGAATATTGGGTAGTATAGGGCAGCCCATTGACACCCCATGACCATGAACTCCTTCCAGCTCCAAGAAAGTTTGAGGCTAAGACCATTGATAGAAAAAGGCCTCAATTCAGTCAAAGTTGATCTGCCTGCACTGTCATTTGCTTCAATTTGAAGCCAATATCTATCAGGAGAAGCATCCTCAAAGGCTTTGTAATTCCATGGTGCAAGATAGAGGTCTCCCGTGGTGTTCTCATCAGCATGCCTGATCATATGTGTTTCTAATACTAAATCAAGGTTTCCAGATTTTGAGTCGTAGATCCTAGCTACAACTGATGCAACTGGGGCAAAAGAAAACACCAGAGCTCGAATTTTCTCATAAGATGAAGGGAGCACAGATTTACATTCATAGTTGTGACGGCATGAAGATGTTATCATGAAGCGAGAGTCTAATGGAAAAGTGGGCAATATAATTGCAGGTTTGGTTCCCGATTTGAAATCAACATCAACATATGAAACATGGCCTCTATCAATGGCTAAAATTCGAAAGGCTCTACTCTTCCTCCAATCACCCATCTCCCACTCCCAAAAGTCTTGAATTGGTGTGACTCCCATCGAACAATTTACAGTACTTTCAAATGATCTCTGATGTATATTGAACTGAATTTTTTTTTGCAAGGGAGAAAAATGACCACTCAACTGATGGTGCCGCTTTAAGTTCACACCAAATCCAGTATGGAGATGCCCACACAGGTAAGCTGATATGGAATGCTTTAGGAAAACATCCTCCAAGGTCCTTCCAGAAATAGAGGGCGCAGAAAATGAGAGTGGAAAATGCCCAAAGGAAATTTTGGTAACTGGTTTTTCTGACTGAGAATCCCACTGTGAGAGTTTCAAGTCTAGATCCTTTAGTAATTGATCTGTGGGATGCCCAAACAGATTGGTTGGACCTCGTAAGCCAGTTGACATTGTGCTGTCAAACCCAACAAAGAGATGTTTTCTTTCTTTGGTCTGTGATACAATGCGAGTGTGTAAAAATAAGTAAGAAACAACATCATAGCACCAAGCAATAATAATAATATAAAGAATTAAACCTAATATTTGAGAGCTCTGAATTCTTTAGTCTAGTCCAAACATGTGCTCAAAGGAACTGGTTTTAACAACTTTATAATTCAGTACATAAGCATGTATTTCATCGTGGTTTCAACACTTAATTTTCTAATCAATGTTTACAATCCTAAATTCCATGGACCAAATGGAGTCTGATATTTAAATTTGTGTCTTACAATATGCTTATTGTGAACGTTAACAACACCTTGATGCATGCTCTAAAGTCAGGGAAACAGCAACGTTTCAATTTAATAATTTGATATTTACTCAAGAGAAAATAAATATGCGACACTGACCTCAATTGTGACACTATTGACACGCCCACTTCTTCCTAATTGCCCACTGATGCTGTATTTAGAAAAAAAATCAGAAGAACAACCAACAAACGGAACACCAAAACTATCATGGTTGCCTCTGAGGTCAAAGAACAAGCTCTTGTCGAGTCCACTTCTCCCAATAACAGTGTCCAGTACGCTCCGGTATTCCACCCATTCATTCTCATTCTGCCTCATTGTCAGCAAATCCTTGCTTTTACCGTCTGGTAAACAGCAACATTAACCACAACATTAGAATAAAGAGTTTAATCTTCATACATAATTATCTAATCAGAAATCATCTCTATAGATAACTTTTAAAGCAAATTAAAATTACAACCCATGAAATTTCATCAAACACCACGTGGTATGGTATCTCTACTTTGTTTTACCCCCACACTAGCTTCCCTTAGTTCTGTCATTTGTTTAAAAATAGATCAAATTCATGTCTTTTTATTACCTAAGAAATACGTTATACAATCAATGTACCCTTATAAAATGTTTTATTTACGAGAATAGACAAATTTGTCTCCTATATTACAAGAATAGACGGATCGTACAACCTCACACGAGTTAGTGTATTTTTAAATTGTTGAATCTATCGAGGATGAAGTTTATTTAGAAGACCCAATATCAAATGAGATCCGAGTCCACTCACTTAAAGAATTGACATCACTCTCTACACAAAAATTTAAGACAATGGATTAATGAATCTTCAACCTTATATCGTGTTCTAGTTTCTCATTTCTAACTATCGTGGGACTTAGACTTATACACTTTGAATCGATTATGTACTATTGAAGTTGTCTACCTCTACACGATTTCAACAATACATACAGGTTGAAGTGGTATACAGAGTACATGATTTCAACTTTTCACGTCTAGGGATGTACGACTTCTTCTTATGAATTCAAATACTACAAGACTTGTCTATTTTTGTAATTTTCTTAAAATTTTTCTATTTGTCTACTATCATTATACACTTGTAAAAATACTCTTATAAGGGGATTCAGTATACAAAAACAAACAGTTACGGGTATGCTCTCTGTTTTAAATATTTGAAGACTGACAACCAATCAGAAATCATCTTTAACATTAATATCAAAAAAATAATCATATTAACAAGTTTACACCTTTACAATGTACATTCTAATTAAATTCTAACATCTCAAAGCATTGTTTCAAAAGTCAACGACAGTACTACCCCAATTTATGATTAGACGACCGTAAAAATTCTTAGAACAAATCCCACACATCATTATTCGACACCCCAGAAACAATTTTAGCTTAAAAATGGAAACTTAAAAGGTGGGTAATGAAAGCAATGAAAGACAAGACGAACCAGTGAGGTCGCCAGTGATGAGGACGAGGGAGGGGTTGATGACGGAGAGAGCGGGGCCCACAAATTCGGCGAAATCGAGGGCTCGATTTGGATGGTGAACGCTGAAATGAAGATCGGAAAGCTGAACCACCCAAACCACAGAATCTGGGCCTTCTTTGATGTGTGTATCTCCATCACTGCTTTCAGCTATGCAAATGTCACACAGAATCGCAACAGCAAGAAGAAGAAGAAGAATAAGCTGTGTGCTTCTTCCTCGGTGGTTTTGGGTTCGCAGTTTCATTTTGAATTGTTCAAATTCAGTGCTCGGAATTGGGGTGCTTTTTCTACGTTGGTTTCATGATCACTGTAATGAACTACAGTGAATGACCCATGTTCTTCCTTCCACTGAGATTCTTTTATTAATTAACAATCTCGTTTCTTAAATATAAATTAATCATTAATTGGTCTTTCAATTTGTTCTGAAATTTTGATATTGTATTTGTAAAGTTTTTAACCTTAGTTTAATTTTAGATTTCACATATATTATTTCCTTTTACATTTCAATTACTTCAATTATTCTTCAGGATATTTTAAATAAATGAGTTCACTTTTGTATAAATTACATACACACACATATAACTATTTCTATGTTTTTATTTAAATGATATTTAAGATAAAGCTCAAGGACCAGATGTTCTAAAATACAATTTAGGAAAATGACTAAATAATTGATTAACATAACTTTTTAATTTTTTGATGAATTGAATAAAAAGAGCGAATTAAAAAGAAGAAATAAATAGAAAATAGCTGTATTGTATGTCATTAATTTGATAGAATAGAAAATGGACGATAGATTATTATATAATGTCTAAAATATTTGTTGTGTCTACTTAAAACAAAAAATGACTTCTCTTACTATTAAAAGAAATTGTTGGTTATGTTTGACAAAATAAGCCACATAATTAGTTATATTGAGACATAATCAATTACATTAATATTATATGTACAATGTATGTTTTATTTTTCTAAATAATTACTTTAGTAAATTCTTGCATGTGGGTACATTACATGTAATATATATATATATATATATCCATCCGTCTTTTACATTGTTGGTTGAGTCATTCATAAATGATAATGGAAGCTTATGTGACAACATTATAAGATTGAAGCCACATAATTAACTTTATGCTTTTAAAATTAACCAATTGGAAGATGATTATGTGAAAGATTTGAGACCAATACGTCGGAACATTCTCAACATATTTATATGCTACCTTATATCAAACTTAATAATATAAATGGTTAAACTAAAACGAGTTAGTCCAATTTACTTTTTTTTAATGAGTTAAACATTTTATAATATACTTCAATTCAATAGAAATTAAAGAATTGATTCATTAAAATATATATTTTTATTTTTTTTTATTTTATATATTTATTTTAACACAATCAAAATTAATTCATTTGATTTTTTATTTGTTATCTTATTTTAACTATTATACAATATTTTGATATAAGTGAAACTTCTATATGTTTAATCTCAAGTTCAATTAAAAAACACTCATAATAGAATTGAGCCTAACTCATTAAATCATAGACTTCTAATTCAATAAAAGTAAAAACGTTCATTACTCCATTTTCGGCTGAGTTCAAATTCATTCTTTCTCTTTGAAGAAAATCAAATACAATTTTTTTTAATTATTTAAACAAAATTGTTTTGTCGAAGAATGTTGCTTTAGCATTTAAAAAAAAATGTTTTTTTTACTACAATAAAATAATGAACATCAAGATAAATTGAGAGAACAAATGGGTATGAAGATATCCTAATAAATACAGAAGAAAATGTTATTTAGAAATAATTACTTAATTTTAGAGTGGTTAAAATGAGTAAGAAGGAGCAAAGGTTTTATGTTCAAATAATGCATAGTACAAATTCATTTATGAAGGAAAAATATAATAGAAACATAACTTATAATAAATGTATATATAGTAAATTCATTACTAAAGATAAAAACTTTAAAATGTGAATAAAATTATTCTGAAAGTAAGACACCCTGTTCATTAGCACGAAGTCATGAACAATAGGATAGAAAGTAATGTAGTTAGGTTTGTGTTATCTTTTTGTACATATTTTTAACAACACTGATAATTTTATATTTGAGTTAGGTTGGCACATAACTCACAACTCATCTCAAAAGCCATAGACTGTTGTGCACGTCAAGCTTTCCAATTTTATTTATAGGAATATTCTCAAATCAATATTACTTCAAAATTAAAAATAATAAAAATCTAAAGATTTCAAAACATATTTCTTTCCTTCGTTTTTTGTTTTTTAATGTGAAAATTAAAATTAGTCTAATTTTAGATTAATTTTTTTCATTGACATGAAAAAAAACTGTCAATAAATATAAATAATTTAAATATTATCATGAAATGTATTTAAAATCTTAAATAAATTTAATAAAATTTAGTTAAAAAAATTAAATTCACACATTTTAAACTGAAAAACTAAATTAAATTAAAGTTTTAAAAATGGATTAATTTTAATTTTCATTACAAGTTAAGAATCAAAAATATATTTACCCCACTTTAAATATTAATATTTTTGAAAGCACTTGCAAAAAAAAATCCATTTCCATATTATAAAGCACCTGTAATACACTATTTTTGTTGTCTTATTATATCGGTATAAAACATTATAAACATTTTATGATTAGTTTAAGTAAAAAAAACCCTATCTAAACACCTCAATCAATCTCTTTCACCAATATATATTTTTAATTTAAAATAAGTTAAGTTCAAAGAAAGCTGTTACTATATGTTTATTAATAACACTTGTGATATAGAATATAATAAAAAGCAAGTCCATTGATATTTTTTGTTTGTTTGTTTTGCATAGGCCCATTATGTGTAGGTATTGACACTACATGTAGGTCAAAAGTACCTTTTCTTGTCAAATTACGAGGGCTCTTTTTGTCGAGTACGTAGATTCATTCTGGGAAAAAACTTAAGTATTTGATCTTGTTGCTAAAATCCTAGTGATAATGTTATTAAATAGGACTAAATCCAACTCTAAAAGATGTTTAAGACATTAAGAAAAGTTTAAAATTTTGATGGATATAATGAGTATTAGTAATTATAAAATAAGTATTTCAAAAAATATTAGTTATATTTATAAAATCAACATAAATTTTAAATTTATGTTTTTATTGAAATAATACATACATTAAATATATAATAATATAGTTAATAGCAATTGATAAATAATAATCAAAATATAAAAATGTTGAGAGATTAATAATGATAAATGAATATGACTTAAATAAATTTAAGTTATTAAATTCAACAAGAATAATAAGTTTTTTTTTCTTTTTTTTTCTGACTTGTTTCTTAACGTAGAATTAATAAATATATTTAAAACGCCTATTAATGATTAAGTAGTCCAAAGTAAAAAATTGATTTTTTTACCATTTTTAGTGCAACTTTATCATAACTTCTAAAAAAAAGCTTAAAATTATAATGAGTATTCAAAACCATGATACTTGTTTGCAAAGATATTTTAAGGTACCGATTAATGAATGAATTGACAATATTTTTCATCAATAGCAATATTTTTGAATAAAGAAAACATTGTTTAGAATATCTTAATCGAAAGTAAGAAAATAGTAGTAGTATTTAGCCATTATTTAAAATACCAAGGTAAACATTATTTACTATAAGCATGTTTTTACAGTGGCAAGAGGGGATGGCACCGTCAACATGGATTAGTAATTTAATAATTGTAATTAAGAAATGAAAGTTTATTTAATTAAAAAGTATTAAAGAAAAAGTGGTTGTTAAGGCATGTGTTATATGGTCCTTGATTCCTTTGTTGGTGGTCAAAGTTACATTATGAAAATTGCACCATTCGAGATCAATCTTTATCTCTCATTAACCAAATCTTCTACACTAATCTTTTATTACTATTATCTTTTTCACTCTTTTTTCCTCCTTCCACATTTTAACCTATTGCACCATGTGCCCATTAATTAATTTCAACTTCAAAACCATAAAGATCATTAATTTCCAACTTCTCATTCAACTTTTATCTACTTCTGCTTTCACACTTCATCATCAAATTCCCACTTGCAAACATATAAAAAAATTATACCAATAATGTAAAAATATTTTTACTTTATTTTAAAGGACTCATTCAACAAATATAAAAAAGTGTACCCTTTTTAGTTATAAATACTTTTAAACATGATCATATTTATTATGTTCTACTCTTATTGATAAAAAAAAAAGTTAATGAAAAAAATAGATTTTTTTTTTGTAAAAATGAATCATTGGGTATTTCATACAATAATAACATGATTTATATGTGCATATAACTTTAATTCCTTACACAATGTTTCATTCATAAAATTAGACAAATTTTGTTTATATTTAGATAGAATGGTTATACAAACATGCTATAAAGGTATTGATATCTAAGCAATAAAAATGAAAACTTTTTATTGGAATGCAGAAAAAAATGCATATTTTTAAATTTTTTTATGAGCATCCTAAAATAGTGATAATGATGTCCGTAATTAAAGAGTACTTTATTATTTGTAAAAGTTTATGTGTGAAATTCCACATTGGAAGCTTGGGAGTTAGATATTTTTGTCCAATTTGTCTCTTCACAAACTTTTGAGAATGAAATATGTAACCCGCAAGACAAGGGTTGTTGTCCTTACAAAGGGGCACAACTAGCAATAATAATCTTACTAGCTAATCTTTCTTTTCCCCATTAATCTATGTCATTAGTCTATATATAAAAAATTATAAATTGTTAGTGCTTTTTCATATCCTATCAATACCACTAGTAACACTATAGCTTAAATATGGAGAGTATTAAGTGTAAAAATCAGTAGGAATGCAATAAATTTGAGGATTAATTATGTTATTTTCTAGGTGATAAATAATAAATTATGTTAGATGTAATTCGTTTTTTTTTCTGTCAATATTTTAAAAAGTTAACATAATTAATTGTTTAATTCTGTGACGTCAACAAATAGTTAATATAATTTAATTATAAGGATTACGTTCATGAATTGTTTAAGTATAGAAATATAATATGATCAAAGTTTATATATGAATAAAAATCAAAGACAAAAATTATAATTAATCCTAAATTTAAATATCAACTATTATAAATTCTTAATAATTTTATTATTATAGTGAAACGTTGAAATTGAATTTAATTTAATCTCATTAAATCCACTAAGATGAAATTTTGTTCGTTTATGTATTCTAAATTATTAATGTGAAATTTTTCAAAAAAAGTGGCAAATTAGACACCCAAAACTATCAAATAGTTATAATTTTTATTTAAAATAATGTTTTGATCTTACTTCGATGAAACAACATTTTA